GGGGTGTATTGCGAATGAATAATACTTCCAATTCACCCATGAAGTACATTTATTAGTATAGTAAAATGGCGTAATTTGTTCTATTGTCATGATGATGGCTTCAATTCAACAGTGTATCTGAATATGTGCCTAATTTTAAGTACACTGTTGGCGTGTACTTAAGTACAATGTTGGCCGTAGTTACTGCACATTTAGTTTAGTATTCCTTAATGAAGTACTAACTGAATATGTAGTAACTACATTTACTGCACAGTAGCCCAGGAGCATGTTTTTTTATGATGCTTATTGTACAGTAGCCTAATAATACTGCACAGTAAGTTATTAGCATGGGTTTTGACCAGCTCGCTACTGCACAGTGTTATTAGGCTACCATGTAGTAAGCATTGCCTTGACTTCAGTTCAGCTACTCGGATCCAAAAGCTTGGCACCTGCTGAATCATGGAAAATGTCAGTTGTAAAGTAAGTAGCCTGTTTAATGCTGATAAAGTCCAAAAGGCAAAAGACCTAAAGATCAAAATAAAAATCTAAAAATGCAAAAAAAATTGATATCTCTTTTACACATCTCCACCAATGCAGTCTTAGCCTTCACAGTACACTGAAATTATTACTTTACTATGAAAAATGAACATTATCACTGCCAGTGCACAGGTTATGAGGAAGCAGGAAAAAAGACAAAAATTAAAATAAAAAAAAGGCAGATGAAAAATTCAATTATGGAGGAATGGGATGTCAATTTCAGTGCAGCTCACAGAGCAGCTGGTACTTAAAAAGCGATTGGCACTTTAGAAATAACTGAGAGAGATATATTTTGTCTATACATTTTTGAGTGGTTTGTAAAACCTGATGACAGCTGGAGTACTGTGCCCAGTTCTCAGCAGTGGACTTCAAGAGGGACATGGATAAGCTCGAGAGGGTACAAAGAAGGGCCACCCATTTGATTAAGGGTATGGGGGGTTGGCCCTGTGACGAGAGACTCCAGGAACTGGGTCTGTTCAGCCTGAGGAAGAGAAGGCTGAGAGGTGACTTGATAGCTGCCTACAAGTACCTCAGGGGGGAGCATCAAGAACTAGGAGAGCAACTATTCAGGAGGGCACTTCAAGGGAGGATGAGGACCAATGGGCATAAACTAATAGGGCGCGTCCACACATGCAAGCACGTGCGCTTGCAGCAGCTCAAATAGAAGCGGTGCAAATTTGAGCCGGGGCTTTTTGCCTCAGTGCACGTGCTCAGACATGCACTTCAGTGTGGAGCAAATTGTGCCACTTGGGGCAAAATAACCCTGCCTGGCTCCTCCCAGATCTGCAGCCAGGGGGAGCTAGAGCCCAGGGCCAGCACCTGTGCTGTCCCCAGCAGTATAAAAAGCTGCCCTGTCCTGGCCTCTTCCATACAAAAAGCTGCCCTGGCAAGCAGCTCAGGGCTACTCACTCTCTGGAGTTTCTGGCACCCAGCCAATTAATACCTGAGGACACTACCCCTTGTGCCAGCTGGATTGCTGCAGCAGCATCCCAAATCGATTTTTTAAAATACCCCCAAATCCATGTTCTTCTACATTTAAAACAAAACACACACACATATATCTAGAGAGAGAGAGAGATAAGTTGGGTAATGCTCTATTGGTATATTTACAATGTTAAAGCAATTTGGAAGCCTACCAGTGTCTCTATCATCATAAAAAAATAAATTCTAAATACCTGTGTGTTGATCTGTGCTTTTGGTTTTCTTCACACATGATGGGTGTGTGATGAGGGGATGTGGTGTTTGCAGGAAGGTGATGGGAAGGGGTGTGGGAGAAGGTGGTGGGTGGATGTGGAGGGATGTGGGTTGGTCTGTGGGTAGGAGTGGGGCAATGACAGGGCCCCAACCCCCCTGCCCAGGGCCCATAACTAACCTTTAACAGCAGCAGCGGGGGTGGGTCATGCACTGAGCCCAGCCTGGTTCTGCCGGCCCTGGGGCTGCTCTTGCCATCCAGTTGGGCTGGTCTTGTGGCAGCAGGACCCAGTGCGGCACACGGGGACTGCATGCCAGGCCCAGCCAGGTCCTGGGGCCCCTCTGCAGCCCAGCTGGGCTGGGCCCAGATCCCTGAGGCTTGCTAGGTTGGCTTTGCACTAGAGAGGGTTGGACGGCTCTGGGGGGGGGGCAAAGGG